AACTAAAAGTGTCAGTATAAAAAATAGTATATGTATAAAATAAAATATATAAAATTACAGAAAGACCAAAACAAAAAAGCAATTTCTGGCTTGCACCATTCGATTTAAAACAAGTTATATCAAATAAGAATAAGAAATTCGAAAATTTTATTTTAATATTTCCCACATATTTCAAAAATATATTATTTCCTACATATATAAAACATACTTGTATTTGAATATTTCCCACATATACAAATCATATTTGAATATTTGTCACATATATAAAACATATTTGCAAATTCTATTTTAATATTTCCCACATTCATAAAACATATCGAAAATTATATTCTAACATCTCTCACATATATAAAACTTATCTGAAAATTATTTTCTAATATCATTTGGTTGGAGTTAAATTTATGGCAAACGAAGAAAATTTGATTAGGCCCCCAATAATAGCAGATCATCCACAGGTAGGCGGGCACATCATAAACAGACAACTTGACAGACACAACGAACATTTACAGAATATACGCATGGCAAATAACGTGGAACAGGTGATAGCAGCCACGGTTAGCCAAATTTTAGCGCAACAATTGCCAGTATTAGTGAGGCAGTTAGTTAACCCTTCCAGGGAATTTAATGATGTAGAAGAACAAGGGATAGCTGCCAATCAGAATTTGAATGATTTAGACAGGGTACTAGGCAACGTTAAAAGCCTCCGAGAATTTTCCGGTAACCCGGCGGAGTTTAGTTCATGGAAGAAGAGTATAAATCGTATACTGTTAGTCTACACTGCCGAGGCTGGTTCGCCAAAATACTTTGGCATATTGCATACCGTGGAATTAAGGAACCAGTAGATCTTCCCCCGGCTCTTCATTACTGCCTGAAGTTAGAGAACCAAAACTATCGAACTAACATAGCGTGGAACAAGAACCAACAGACAAACTTCAGAAATTCCAATAGACACATACCAACACCAGTATTGACACCTCGAAGGGCTCAACCCTCTAGTACAGCAAGCTTTAACCAAACACCACCCATAGGTTTCAGACATCAATTACCAGTTCGAACAACTTGGCCGAACACCACAAACTATCGACCGAATACATACAACAATACGGGACTGATTACACATTACCCCAACCAACGAACTTATCAGACACAACCACAACAAACGCACGTACCTCCTCGCCCTTGGGCACCAAAACCACAACCAATACGAACATTCAGACATCAATTTTTTAGGATAAATAGCTCCTCTCTTCCTTATATAGAATGCAAGATGGGGAACGGAAAATTACTTAAAATATTGATAGATACGGGATCGAATAGGAATTATGTCCAACCCAAATTTGTGTCCGAGCCAAATGAAAAGTGTTTTGAAGCCGTCATAGTCGGCGGAAACATTAAAATCACACAAGTTCGCTAACCTTTTTAATAGAGTCAGATTATAAGTTCGACATCCCATTTCCAACCTCTCATAGACACACTATAACACTACCAGACTTTACAGAAAACGGACTTATACAGATCTTGAAAGCTCATTTAAACCCATCAGTTATTAACGGAATATTACCCTCAGAAGAAATATTGCACCAAATCCAACAAATATATCATAAACATTTTAGAAACTTCAAAATTAGATTCACACAGACTCAGGTGAAAGACTTAACAAACGAAACATAAGATGAGAAAATTTCGGCTACACACAACAGCGCTCACCGTAACGCACTAGAGAATAAGAAACAGTTGTCCAAAAATTTATATTTCCCAAAAATGAAACAGCGAATAATGGAATTAGTTAAACAATGCCAGGTTTGTAAAGAAGAAAATTACGATAGGCACCCAACTAACCCAAAACTCAAAGAAACACCAATCCCTGAATATCCAGGACACTCAATACACATCTACATATACAAGTACATGACAGAAAAGAATTTAGTACTAACAGCAGTAGATAAATTTTCGAAATTGGCTCAGGGACGGGTAATTAAATCTAGGGCAATAGAAGATATAAAAAACCACTACATGAGATCTTATTTTATTTCGTAGTACCGAAAGCTGTTGTGATAGACAACGAAAAATCTCTGAACCCGGCATCAATAACTTTTATGATGCAAGACCAACTAGGTATCAAGGTCTACAAGACACCACGGTCAGCTAGAGAGATTTCATTCGACGTTATCAGATATTATGAGGTGCAATAAAAGAAAACAGGAATATAGAACATTTGAGGAACTTCGCGATAAATCAATATACGACTACAACTACACCATACACTCAACAACTAATAAGAGACCATTGACATATTCTTCGGTAGAAACGTGACTACAGATCCAAATCAGAACGAAAAGGCTAGGAAAGATAACATTGGCAGAACAAAACAGAAAAAATCGACAGACATGCATAACAAAAAACGTAACGACAAAGTTAACACAAGATTAGGTACCAAACTATCACCCAGATATAAAAAGAAATAGTTAAGGAAGATAGAAACACGACCATACTAACAACAAGAGACAAGATAATTCATAAAAGTAATATAAAAACATATAAAATTACAGACTACTATTAATGATGACAGCAATACCAACTAGGGGACACCTGGAAGTTTTGAATTATACAGACGCACAGACAATAAGTATTCTAGAAGGAATGGGGAAACTACAGACATCGACAACCCGAATCGTACAGATCATAGAGTTAGAGCAAATTAAAAATACATTAGAGAATCTCCTATTGTACACAGAAAAAGATCTGGGAGCTAATACATTGTACCACACATTACGCCACGAAATAACACAAGCCATTTTTATACTCTGTACATGAAATGTACAGAAGTATATTAGGTTTGCGGGAGCTGAAAAATGTAACAGGCAGAAGGAGGCGTGGCAGACCCCACAAAGTATATATATTCTTGATCAGCATGACGAGACGATCTAGCCCTGTCTGTCTGTCCGTCGGTATGAACACCTGGATCTCAGAGACTATAAGAGATAGAGACACCAAATTTTGCACAAATATGCCTTTTGTGTGTATTCTATACGAGTTTGTTTTATTTTTTTGATTTCCATTCGTATAATCGCTTATATCTCGGAGACTATAAGATCTAGGAACACCAAATTTTAGTCCCAGATGCCTTATGTGAATACGCAGAAAATGTATATTTTGGAATTTCCCTCCCTCCCCCCTCTACCCCCCCAAATCGTAACTCCGGTAATTCTTGGAATTTCGAACTAAAATTTTAGAAAAACCCCCAGTTGGTTATTATGTATCCGTATGTCAAGTTTCACTATGATAGACCGATTTAACGAGAAGTTATAGCCATAAATATATTTGCTGCTGCAGCGCTGCCCGCGGCTGTTGATGCTGGTGCTTTGTTTGACTGCACACATGTTTACACAGACACGAATAGATGCGCATAGGCATACATACACTCACACAGACGCAATTGCTATGTAAATGTGCAATTATAAACCCTTTACGTGAGTTCGAATACCGAGAGAGGTAAAATCGATCAAATTTTTTTTTTTATTTTCTTAATTTTTTTATTTTCTATAATTATTGTAAACATATGTACAGAGTATTTCAAAGTCGGGACACCCGACTTTAGCTTTTTTACTTGTTATTTTCAACGCAATACCATTGTTCCATAAACGAAAGACTAGAGCAATCAATATACTAGGTACGGCCTGGAAGTATGTAGCCCGGACAATAATGACTTAATACTGCTTACTGACAATATAAACTGATAGAAAACGATAATAAAAATCTGATAATAAACAGGCAATTGGAAGACCGAATAAATAAACTTACAAAAATTTCAAATGATCTAACAAATGGTATAAGAATGGAATCTCTCATAAGTGATGAGATAGCTATAAGTTTCGAAAATCAAATAAGGCTTATAAAAGAAGAGATAATAAACATAGAATATGCCATACAATGGACCAAATTGAATTTAATCAATACATTTCTACTTGGCGAAAAAGAAATAGAGGTAGTAATTAATAATTTTAATAAGAGCACCACCTTTAAACATTGAAGAAATGCTAGAATTTGCAGACGTATGTATCCATTTTGCACAATGGAACAACCTTGTTATATATTGTAGAGATTCCAAGTATAGAAAAAACAGAATGCAAAATTATGACAAAATTATTTCATTGTAACAAGACAATTTATGGGATAAGTAACAATTGTAAGAGATACCACAATATTAAGATTTGTAACAAATCAAAAATTGTAAACCTAACCACTAATAGCTGTATACCTAAGCTTATCAATGGAGAACAAGCGCTGTGTGGCTATAGCAACGCAGACCACATCCCGAAGGTGAAAGAGATCGACGATAGACTCATATTGGTCAACGACTTCAACGGCACAATCAAATGTTGACATTAAATAAACTTGCAAATTTACAATAAATAATTTATCAAAAATACAACAGAAGAACTTTGCAACACTTCATAACAAGTGCAACAAACTGCTGACTCTGCGTCTGCCTTATTTCCTGCATTGTATTACCAAGACCGACGCTGCCGCTAAGCCACAGCTTGTTAGGGATAGATTTGATTTAAGTTAATTCAGTCGCAAATTTACATCAGAATAAAGAACTGCTTCAAGCATTCTTTCAATTTGTTATTTTTTTCTTGATTTGTATTAATCAGAAATTAACTTGTATGTACATTCAAAATCTACATTTTGTCATCTACATCAGCAGTGGGCACGAAATTGGCGAAACTACAATATTGTTTTTGTAAGTTCGCTCGCGATCGCTCTTGTGCGTGTGGCTGGCGCCACTTACCAAAACATAACGGGGAAAGCCCTGGGAACCCAAAGAGCCACTACGTGCCCACCGCTGATCTATGTACATCCTTTATAAGCTAACTAAATAATAAATTTGGAAAAAGTGGAGAAATACAATACAGCGTTTATTCTTGTTTTCTAGAGCATTTCGGAATTTTGAATAGTGTGATTACAATATTAGGTGTGACAATCCAAGAAATAATTGATAGTGGGATACGATTATTTTGGTCGTTTTCACCAAATGTTATTAAACTATTTTATTAAAATAAAAATTTTTAACAGATTTTCTACGCAGCAACCAGGTTTGCTACGTTATCATACATACTCCATATTTTTAAAAGCCTATTAAAACCTTCATAGCTTGCAGCACATATTTGTTAGAATTTAAATATTTTAACTCCACCTGTAATGAGCATATGCCCGATTATTTTCACACAACCTATGCAGATCATTCTTCTTTTTGATGACTCTTCCTTGTCCATGAGCAGCGTCCAAAATCTCCCAAGCCAGCTTGCTTGATAGGCTAATTTTCCGATCCTTCTCTTTAGCAGCATCTAGAATCCATTTCATCGCATAGAAGTACGATTTCTTACTTGTCAAAGGTACAGGTACTTGATATTTCACTCCACCTCTTTTGATTGACGACAATTGTAGCAAGGGCCTACTATTTTCTATGGCCTGAATTAAAAGCTTTTCAGCATCAATGCAAATAGCATGCCCATTATCTTGTTTAACTAGATGTTTGCGTTCAATTTGGGCCCGTTTTATCTGTTCGAATGTTTTTGTTAATAACTCTCTGGCCAACCGACTGTTCCCACATTTAACTATATAAGCTAACATTTTCTGCTTAAGTTCCGCGTTGAAGATAGTGTCTGAAGAACTATTTAAAGCTGCTTTGATTGGCACGTGAGAAAGTTTTGCAAGTTCATATTTTTCCATGTTTTGGGAATCTTTTTTAAAAATAGGCTCAGCATAATGTGGAGGATACATGGACATTAAACGAGACCACCTGTTTTTATAAAATGTGCTTATATAAATTTCTTTTGAAGAGATTTCGCTTATTACCTTGTTCCATTTTCAAATGAACCGTAAATCCCATTCGTGCGGAATTTTCCATATATCAAAGCACGCTTCAACATTGCAATAATATTACGCAAACCGTTGTGCTGAAGTTAATGTTTGGATATATATGTGTGACCGTAGGTCAAAAACAGGAAAATCTACATTATTTTAGTCGGAAAAATCCATATGGTGAAATAACATGGTAGAAGAGAATGCTTTGCCACACTATATCAGTTGGTATCATTTAGTATTTTTATTAACACAAAAATGTACTTTTTCCGGAAATAATGGAGTGCGTCTAAAGAAGACGGTAATTATCAGGGGTGCCAAAGAAATCTCTTCCGACCAAGTTTCCCCTTAAAACCTGGCACAGCATTTGGGAGGTTTCAAATCTTGTTTGTTTTATCGGGAGTTTTGATTAAATTAATTTTTTTTATTAAATTAACAAATTGCTAAATATATACTTAGAACACCAGCATTCATACACAGCATCTAAAACATCCACACAATAGAAAATTATATTTTACTGAGTTAAACAAACTTGGGTGTAATTGTGTGTAGCCCATTGGGCAGGTCTGTTTGTTAGCGAAAATGTGAATGGTCATAAACTGCCATTTAAATGTACAATACGAACCAGGGAAACAAAATGTAAGTACATTTTTTAAATTTCTGAATTACATTTGAAATGCTAGTTTTTGCAAAACATAGATAAACACAACAAGATGCAATTTTTGTCCAATTTATGGAAGCACACCCCAACATTCCAAAATGTTACAAAATCTTTTACAAATAATATTAATTAAATATTAATATTTTATAAGCAACATAAATGGAATTCTTTATTTGACCAAATTGGCATCAGATGCACTTTTCAAACAATTGCGTTGTATTTTTTCAACATTTAATTGGCGTTTCCGTAAATTTTTACTGGCTTATATTAATGCAAATGGCATATTTGTTTTTATTTAACTTAGTACGTCACAGAGTTTAAACATAATTAGTCAGTCAAATGTGAGCGTCGACAGTCTGCTGTGTCTCACGGCTGGCTTGGAGGGAAAGTTCGAAAAATCGAAATCTTTCGAAGTTCTGTGGCACCGACGTATTTTTTGGGAGTTTTCAGAAACAACTGTAGCCGAAACAACCGGAGTTTTCTGAGGCACCCTTGTATACTTATATGATCCAATGTATTATTTATTTTGCATACTGCTTAATGTTAACTAATACATTAATTTAATATTGGACTAAGAAATACTAATACTAATACTACTAATACATTAATTTAATATTGGACTAAGAAATACTTATGGTAGATAATAAGAGCATCACCTTTAAAGAGTTTCAGTGATATTAAAGTGATATATATTAAATACGTACATATATGTATATACATACATATGTATAAATTTTGAACTTTACCCGCGTAAATACGGTCAGCGGTATTTATCTCAAAATTTTCTTTTTAATGAAAATTGATAGAAAATCTTCGTACGCACGTGCAGGTGCACAGGACCGCAACATCTTTTCTTCTATTTTACTTTTTTCTTTTTTGTTTATAAATTTAAGAAATTCAATTTTCATAGTACATAATGTTATGAACAAGTAATTGTTATAAATAATTATTTTCTTATAGGAAGTTTCAATATGTAACACACATTCCTTAGACTATTTTTTGAATCGCCATATTTTACTAATAAATAACACTTTTTGATTTATATTTTTTTAGTTTTTATACTCTGTACATGAAATGTACAAGAGTATACACTAGCCCTTGCCTAACACTACCTCTTTTAGTACGAACTCGGTCTAACAGGATTAACAAGTCGAGCAGTCGAGCAAGCCCGACAGTTAAATAGCCGGAGCTCTCCACAAAAAAAGAAAATTAAAAAAAAAATTATTTAAAAACAAGTAGAAAAGCTAAAGTCGGACGCCCCGACTCTGTACATATGTGTATAAATATTGTTAACAGAGGCATAACTTTTCATAGGTTAGTACATTATATTAATTTGTATAAATATATGTTTATGCTAGTGTCGCCACTCAAATTGGCTCCCGATTAATGAATTTAATTGGATACATTGAAACCTACTTCCATTAAATCGCCTGTGGCTCCATTGACGAGACCATCTGCTGTATCTACATTGACCGTCATCATATACTTTGCAGTGGTTTTCAAAATCAGAGTTGTGCACAACCCTTGAGTTTGAGAAGATTTAAAATTCGTGACGGAATCTAATTTTTATTGCTTACTTTCAGCATTTGGGTGTGCGACCTTGATGAAATCAAGAGCCACTGAAATATGCTGTTCTGTAGCAATCGATTGCAATTTTACCGAGTTAAAAGCATTTGTATCCTCATTTCTAAGAAACAGATGAATTGCATCATCTGGGAATTCACGGACATTGAAAATTCGGGACCTAAACAAACTAATATCCTCTGACGACATTTGACCGGATGCCATGTTATTAAGTGCTTTTGCAAAGGATTGGTCGTCTCTCCGCCGCATTATCTCTATGAGTTCAAAAAACTTAAAACTATCCCACAGAGAAGATCCATAAATAGCACTGTATGGATCCTGCGACGCCGAAGTGGATTGAAATATCCATCGATCTCCTACAGGACGTAGTTGTCTGAGATCGCCGAAAACTATAACAGATATTCCTCCAAATGGGACATTTTTGTTATTGAAAATTTGTTTGAGACGACTATCCAATTGGGAAAACATTTTGGCACCATTGAAATTTCGTCAATTATAAGAAGTTTGACATCAATGAATTTCGAACGAAGGGTATTTAACAAATTTGCACCTAAATATTTAAATGACGACCTGGACTGGCTCACTGGAAGTGAAAACATGGAACGAAGGGTGGAACCCCCAATTCCAAATACTGCTTTTCCTGTGGGTGCGCACAGTAAAATGTTTGCAGTTGTGGGGTCGGAACTAGGTCTACGATTATAAAAATGTGAGAGGGATTGAAAAATTTCTGATATAAGCCTACTTTTGCCACCACCTGCTCCGCCACCTACAAGCTCCTGGAAAATGTTATTATGCTTTGCATTGTGCAAAACATGCCTATAAAATGTTTTTTGATTCAAATTAAGTGATCTAACTATATTTGCTAAATTTGCAATAGATATAATTGGCGGGAGCTTTATTACTCGGATAGTACCATCTGATTCTTCTATATTATTATCTGCATTTATGTTTAAAACATTTATTTGAGAATTTATCTCAGGAAAAGCTAAAACCCTATACTCATTATCTAAAACTGCCTGACTTTCTATATTTTCCTCACTAACTTCTTCATTTTCCATGGCCCTTCTAAGCGCGTCTTCTAAAACTAACACATTGTATTGAGAAAAGGAAGTCCTAATGGAATCTGTATTTTGATTATAAATTTCGTTGCAATTTCTTTGATCTAATTCTGCCTGTTTATCTCTCCACGGTAAGAAAAGCATTAGAAGTTCCCTAAAGTAGTTCTGTCTGTCCAAATTGACATTGAACTTCCTATACCGAATTATACAGGGTTTGGTTCTTTTTCTAACAAACCCACTGCCATTGCGGAGAGGAAGAAAAACACTGCCTAGGACCTCCTTTTCATCTGCATTGTCATTTTGACTTTGGCGAGTTGTTCTGCGGTTCGAGACTATATGGTCGAGAAGACCTACTACAAAAATGTCAGTAGAATCCTGAGGCAAATTATGTAGCTGTTGTCTAGACTTGAGCATTCTAACTCTATGCTCTGGAACTGAAGTATTTGTGTAAACTTCTGCGTTGCTAGTCTCAGACAAACGCATTCCTAGACAACAATACACGGCTTCCTAAGCGGAGATGTCAGTGCCTGAAATAAATTTAAATGATGGTTAAATCGCCTCTGTGAATCTCGTTTACGGCTTCACGCATCAGTTTCGAAATTCCCCGTTGGCTCTAGTTTATATAATTAATAACATAACTGCAGCACGCATAAGGGTCCAAAATAAACTGAATATCCATGTTGGCCCTTATCATTGAGAGAATGTGTTTATTATAAGCGTTTACTTTAATGGCTGCAAATGTTCTCTTCAGAAAAATTTGGGGTATTTTCAAACCAGAACTATGAGCATATTTATAATCCTCGTAACTGAGACTCACTTGATCGTGAGAAAGAAAATTTTCGAATACGCTCAAGTGACGTATACTATAAGCGTCAAATGGGAAATTTAAAACATTTTGAATTTTCTTTAAATTTTCGCGATGAAGAGAAATGTTATCAGTTTCTTCCGGCAGTGGCTTTAAAATCTCTGTTTGGGGCATTGGAGGATATGGAAGGCCAAAGCGACAAAAAGAGTTGCCTGTAACTTCTCGCATGCATTAATGCCCATGATTATGCTTTTGGTATTCTATAAACTGCGCTAAGTCAGTATTTGTTACAGCTGTGGTAACGAATTGATCAATAAAGGCTTCATTGTCGAAGTCCACTGTCGGGGCATCTTTAAGCCAAAACATGCCATGTATATGGGGTGAACCTCTTTGTTGGAACTCAACTCGCCAATAGTAACCTAACAACGTTATGCTCACCGAAAACGCCCCTTCTTCTTCATGACTTTCAGTATTTGCCGATACCGAAAGTCTAAATATCTATCGCAAGTCACAAGGTCTGCTCTAATTAGGCGCGCTTTTTCGCCGAAACTTAAATTTAGAGTAGTTTCCTCTGTTATTTCTTGCTTATCTACTGTTCTTTTTAAAATGACAAGCAGCTCGTCCTTCTTCTTTTCAGCTTCCCAATGAGCAGATGACGTCCGAATACCTCTAAGAACCCTATTTTATTGTGGCGAATAAGACGATCCATATGATCATCATTAAGGGTGTTAGTAGCTGTTATGCCGTGAGGGGCGCTATGCTTTCTTAAGCATATTGAAGTATTATTTCGAATATGAATCAGCTCTAACTTTTTAAATTAAAGAATAATTTATCAGTTCTACAACCTCCTATCTGCATTCAAAAGCTCAGACCTAACAATGGTTGTAAAACTTGCAGAAGTTTTTCTTGTTATAAATGAAATATAATATGAAAATATTGTTGGGAAAGCTAACTCTTATGAGTCAGCATCAAGAATCATGTTCAAGAATCATTGTCTTTGGCCTTTGCCAGGAGCAATTGTGATTCTTTGCATGGGAA